AGTATGATTAATTAAAAAAAGAAAAAAAATCACATATCATAGGTAACAGCTGTGATTATTTCTGAGTTAAGACCAAAACTTGCACTCTTCTTACAAAAGTACGCTAATCAACTCAGCTGAATTAAAGCTGGGCCCTTTACATCCACACAGACACAACTTCCTTAAAGTCAATTTAACTCATCATGTAGTCTAGATATATACACACACAGCGATCAGATCACAAGATCTTAAACAATCATATTCAGATTTTTAATTGTCCTAAAGCAATCAATTCACATGTGGTCTCTCAAATCAATTTGAAAAGTCATTCCTTTTGCTCACAAGGAGTAACTAAAATAGTATGTATACTATAGCAATGAATAGGCAGTCTATGACCCTGCATGTTACCTAAGTATGTGCTCTACTGTAAGCATAAGCAAAGTCTATTAAATCTATGGGAATACTCACTCTTGAAGTTAATAACTAAAATCATTTGCTTCTTCTGTCCCAAATTCAAGTGCCCTGAAAACAGCTTCCACAGTTTCAGTGTGCATTGGCTCAGGCTTTTTAAGCTAGGCAGATCATGCTGCCTTATGCCTTTACATAAGGCATGCACATGCAATCCACCCTGGAGCAGTGCGCGCTGGTAGGTTGTCTTTTCTCTCCAGGAAAGCATGCATCTCCTCCAGACTTGGCCTAATTTTTTTTTTTTAATGGATATCCTCACTTAACGTGGATATCGTCACATTGTATTTTGGAAGTAACTAACACCATAAAGGGCCCAAACTGGACCATTAGACTCCTGCTTCACAGTAAAGTAACTCTCGATGGTGTCAACGGTGCAGGATCATGCAGCTGAAGTGACATGTTTTAAACATAGCATTATTCCTTTTTTATTTTGTAGCGCATACCACCAATGCGTTGTGTTGCAGAACTTGTAAAAAGTACTTGAGAAGTCAATAAAAAAAGTTAGATAATGTCAAATTTTGGAACATGAAGATGCTCATTAAAACACTCATTGAAATGAGACAGTTTACTCTCTCCAGCAGAGTTTTATACTTTCCAGGCTCCTTCCTTCAGTGTTCTTGATTTCCATGATAATTGCAGAGATATGCCTTAAAGAAAAATGAGTTCAGGAGGTACAGTTGCCAGTGGAAATAATCCTGCTTTAATACACACATTTGAATTCTGTTCATGACCCATTCGCAGCCACAGTAAACATCTCTTGCATTCAGTAGGATAACAATGCTTGTAAGAAACCAACTGCTTAAATACGTTACGGAATAAGAGCTCATAAAACAGGAACACTCTAAAAAAAAAACTCTTTCATTCAGAACATCTCTGTGAAATCATGAATCAAAGACACAAAGACATACCAAGTTAATTAGATATATGAGGTCACACTGACCATAATATAGCTGGAATGCGGAGGGGAAAACAGTCCTCCACCCACTGAAAGCACTCTACCCCTGTTTTTTTTTTTTTTTTTCCTTAAGTGATTACCACTTTTTTTAAAATATTCCAACTGGAAGGAACTGAAAAGGGAACATAACACACCATGAATCCAAACTTTTTGTGAAGTTTTGCTGAATTACTTTACATAGGAAAAAAACTTTTAAAAGAAAAAGCTCCACAGCTTAGAATCCGCTGGTGCTTAACAGTTTAGAATCTGTGGGTACCACAGAGAACCACAGCCGTTCACCTCCCCTTTTCCATTTGCCTCTAAATAAGAAAACTTGCGCAAGTCCTGCTTCTGAGGCTGACAGCCCTTCCCCGGGCGTTTGAGCCGATCAGTACCACACACAAGTCAGCCTGCAAAACAAGGCCAAAACTAACGGAAAAGCACCTATTCCGGCCCCCGCGGGGCGCCGGGGAAAGGGGCCAGGCGGCCAGCGGAGACGGCAGCGTGGGGTCAGCGCCAGGCAAGGAGACGGCTCGTGGGGCGATCGCGCGTGGGGTGCCGGCACGGCGTTACCTGGCGCTGGCGAAGCGGGCGGCGGG